CGTTATAATTGCACACGTAGTTGCTCCGCTGCAATCTCGATCTCGTCAGCATCTCTCACTTTTTGCAATTGTAACGCAGCAGATGCACGAGTGAGCGGTTGTATCCTTCCCAATCTGTGTACTTAGGATCCCTATATTGCAGGAGAGTTCACCTACGCTTATTTCAAACTGTATGTGTCTATGATCCGGAGCACGATGGCTCAGATGATACCCTCCAATTGGATTATCCTATTGCTCAAGTAATTAGAGCTGACGGTAATGTCTAAAACCTCTTCCTGTTACAAGTAAGAAAGGTTGGTTCGGAGCCTGCGTTATTAACTACTAACCCTTCACCTATTAAGTAATTAAGAATTAACTCACCTCTGAAGTTGGTGTCCGTGCTTCCCATGCCTCGTTGTGGCCGTTGGCGTCGCATCCTATCACCAGCTGTAGGTTTTTCCTCTGCAGTAGCTGAGATTAGTTCTTGTCACTTTCTTTGGAGGAGGTAAATCCGCTGTCTTGTTTCCCGGGAAAGGAGCAGGCAATGAACTCCACCTCCCTCCGCTTCTCCCCGCTGGGATCTTGATATGTACCGCCACCACATCCTGACAGCAGAACCTATAAAGGCTAAAAGAGTGCACGCTCTTTTTACTAAATGCATGCCCTAGGTCTGGTTATCCAGGGGCAGTAATTAGCCTACCCTCTGTCCTCCCAAGGCCACATACGGCCTGAGTTAACCCAGGGTTCTTGAATGAAGGCGAGATGCACGTCTTCCTTCTGAACCTTCTGCCAAGGACGTTAGAGGTGGCCTTGGCATGTTGCAGGTTAATTTGTATACATTTGCCTGCTGCAGCCATCCCTGCAGTAGTCAGTTTTGCTCCCACCATCAGGGGGTCTACGTCCCTTTGGTGGGAAACCTATATACGTTCCGCCTGGCTTCCGGGTGGTTTGTTCCCACTGAGCTGCCAGGCTTCCTCGAGCTCCAGAGGGTTTAGCTTTAGACCCTTTCATGGCCGGGTTTCTCTGTGCCACTACTTTGCCTCCAGCCTCCCTCTCCCTTCTGGGTGTTGCCAGACTCGTGGCGTCAGTCGTCACCCGGAGAGGCTGTAGGATGGTCCCTACCATCTCCCGAGACTGACGCCCTGGTCTGCTCCGTATTGTTTTCATTTTCCTTATCTCTGGGTCGGAAGGCAATCTGCCCAAACCCAAAGTAGGCTCCTGAATCCGTTGCGGCGAAGGAGACCATGGATCTCTCATCAACCGCAAAGGTCCAGGTTTGTCCTGGCCCTGCATCACTCTGGTGGAGTACCACTCCTGAGTTAGCAGGCTAAGATTCATTCTTCTAAGTCTGCCCAGCACCACATCCCCTCTGCTTCTCCCTCCAGGCTCATCATCGGGAATGTAGGCCAAACAGACATGAGGCTTGGGTATATCCTGCCCCCCTTACTGCCCTGAGTTCCAAGCCCTGCCATGGCGAAAGGTCGTTGACTATCCTTTCTAACCACGCAGCGCTGGTCTCTGTCGGCACAGATTGCGCGAGCCATCCAGGCCGAATGAGCAGCCTTGGAAGCGTACCTGTAGTCCTTCTCAAAGCTTGCGTCCACGGCCTTCATAATGGCAATGTTTTAACAACAAGAAGCGTTTCTCGGTGGATAGGCTGTTCTCTGGGTGGTTAGGTCGGATTACTCCAACCCTTATTTCTCCAGCGCCCACGTAGCTTCTTGCGCCCTCCCCCTACAAGGCTTCTTAGCGCCTGTTCAGGCGTGCTTGCATCCGGAGCGGATGCTTGTTAGCATTAGGAGCACCAGTGTGAGGTTTATTCTCCTCCGTTGATTTGTTCTTCCCGAAGAGGTACCCCACTTATTGTGCCCTTTGTTTCTCCGCTTGTCGCTGCAGAATCGACTGCAGAGCGGTCTCATAGGGCATTCCGCCCTTGAGAAGTCTTGAGAGGAGCTTTCTTGTCGTTCCTGCAAACCTTTTCTTTTCCAGGGATAATTTTCCATTTGCTTGAGACCCCTGAAAGGAGGTTCACCTTTCTGCCTTCTCAGGCGAAGGGACTAAATTCTCTGTTTCCTCATCCGGCTGGAGGTGAGTTGTTTGGGTGAATAGTCCCATGCTTCCTTAGTTTCCTCCTCCTAGAGAAGGATCGGGACGGTTTGATCCATCCTCGTCATTGGGTTTTTACTTTCTTGGTCCATATAATGATCCCACGAGTAGCAGGGGAGAAACGACCATCACGGCAGAGCCCCCGCAATACCGTGACTAGGCATTTATGAGCTTTGCCCGTATCCCAGGTTGTCGCTGGGGCGGTCGGGTTTCCCCGACCATCCATCCCTTTGGCGCGCACTATACCGTAGGATTTGGGAGGTTTCTGGCAGTGGTACTCATCCACGCGGCTCAGACAGTAGCGCCAGCCCCCATGTCTCCTAAGAGAGACTTACGGTATGACGGACGTTAAGTCCCGAAGGAGGTCCCGTCCGGCATCGTTTTTATGTCTTGATGCAGTTCCCTGGCCACGACACTACAGCCAGGGACAAGACATTGAGATGCTCCTTAGACCTAGCCAGAGCGCAAGAGTGGTCCCCTCCGGTGCCCTGGCCGGGAGCTTTCCCACCAACGTCAAGGTCTCGCATCTCGTAGGGGAAGATGCAGTGGCGTAGTCAGACTTTTTTGGAAAAAATATTTTTTTAGATATTAACTATACTTTTGTTTTTTTTAAATAGAACCCCCTGTATATTTTTAAATTTCCTGATTCAGCTTGGCATGGACTTCTCGAAAATATATAACACTCTATATTTATTTTAACTATTAACCTCAACATTTCAAATTTTTCTGAAAATATCCAGTTAATAGTAGGCCGCGCCGAGTAAGAAGTAAACGGTTGTCATGGTGATCGGGACATACCTTTGATGGATGCGTGACATTTCATTTCAACAGATTGAAATGTGTGTATTTTAAATAATAAAAAAATGCGTATATTTGAAAATTTTGAGAAATATAATACGTTAGAAGTTAGAATGTTATATTGAGTCTAACAAATATAAGCAAATGCAGCTGATTTATATTTTGAGCGGTATTTTGAGCGCGAGCAACGAAACCCAGCCATTTTTAAAAGGTCAGAAAATAGTTTAATCCTAGCCACCTAGGCCACTTGATTTCACTCCCTTGGACTTCTTTCTCTGGGGGTTTCTGAAAAACGAAATTTATCGAAATGCAAACAGAATATTAGAAGAGTTAGAAGATGGTTTTGTTGTGGCTTTGCAAAGTGTAACCAACATACATATTTGAAATGCTGTTAGCGGCGGCGCCAACTCCGTACCATTAAAATATGTTCTTTTGTTTCTGTCACACTTATTTTTTATTTGCTTCGTATTGTTCGAATTTATTTAATTGTTAATAGCGGCGGCGCCAACTCCGTACCATTAAAATATGTTCTTTTGTTTCTGTCACACTTATTTTTTATTTGCTTCGTATTGTTCGAATTTATTTAATTGCTAATACATGGATTAATTTGAAAGTAGATATTCGCTTGTTTCCTTTAATACTCGGTATGACCTACCAAGAGAAAAGTCGATATCTTTAAATAAATTGGAATTTTAAAGTTAATAGTGAAAATTAATATATAATGTTATATATTTTTGAGAAGCCCATGCCAAACTGAATCAGGAAATTTAAAAATATACAGGGGGTTGTATTTAAAAAAACATAAGTATAGTTAATATCTAAAAAAATATTTCTTTCAAAAAAAGTCTGACTACGCCACTGCATTCTACACAGAAAAGTGCCTTTAGAATGTTTAATTCATTTTTGCGTAGTTATTGAAGTAAACAAACTATCGAACATCTTCAAAAATTACAAAATTTGAGGACCCCCCTGTAGCTTCAAAACCGATCAAGATAGCCACGATCCATTTGCGTCATTGTGATTTTGTCAAAAAAAGAACCTGGGACTGCAGTATCAAAATTTGAATATTTCTCACGGTTTCCTACATACCTTATAGAAACAACCAAAATGGTCCACCCTCTACACGATTCACTAATCCTAATCACATTGGCACCGTCAGCACGTGCCATTGTGATTAGTGGTATTCCTAGATCATATATACTTACGTGGATAAATCAACGCCATAAGTTTAGCATTAAAAAATATATCCCCAACATCACGACATGCTATTTACAAACTTTCTTTATTGCACTTATGAACGTTCAATAGGTTTGTCTTTCTCGAGGACCTGACTTTACGCATGCGCATTAAAAGTGGCACGTATTTCCAAAATAATTACAATTTTAAGCCAACTTTTCATTGTCATCATCGTCATCGTATTGTCATAATCTTGTCATAATCATATGTCATAATGTGATTTCCATTGTGTAACGACGCTTGCGTTTTTTATTTTAAACATTGTATTAATTACTCTTTTATCGATATATCTTTTATATAGCCAAGGATGCAAGTGTGTTCAGTGAGAAGTTAATTTTAAGTTTGTGCAATTATATTTCTATCTTTTACGCGTTGGGTTTTAATTTTTGGGTAAATACTCGTAAAAATGACAAGAAAGTGTTTGGTGTGTTGAAATTATAATATAAATGTCCCCGAATTATCTTTTCACAGGCAAGTAAAGTATTCAGTTGTTCTTTTATGTATATTAAACCACATGCATACTTTCTGGTTAGATTTCCTAAGAATATTGATATTCGTACGGAGTGGCTAATTTATTTTTTATTTAAATCAATTTTTGTGACAGTAACATTCAATTATTGTTCAAATATATGCATTTTACAAATTAAATTTTTAAAATTAATGTTCAAATTTGACGCGTGGACGATAGGTCATCGACAAGGATAGATAGAGTAAAAGCACCGCGTGTGCAACAAAGAAAGAAGATAAATGGAAGTCGTTGATATGTTTGGGACAGTTTCCATAGTGATTTACTTATCCACGTAAGTATATATGATCTAGGGTAGTATTATTACCTAATGGTGCAGGTATGTACGACGATGATACTAACGTAACGACAAATATTGAAATATGTCAAGATCTGTCAGTGCTGACATTCGAATAATAATATGAATCAGATTAATAAACATTTTAGCAGATATATAAATAGCGTTTTCAGGATTTTCCAAAATGGGTATGCTACTCAGCGTGCCAATACCAGATGTATTAAAGGGGCAGGTGATGTAAGTAAATTGTAATCTTAATTAAATAAAAATCACGCAACAAAACGTCACATTATACTTAAAATAAAACCTTTGAACGGGATTAAAAATATAGATTTTTAAAAATTAACACCACATTCAGTGCTTAATGGTTAGCGTTCTCTACAGAATATATTATTGGATGTAACAAAAGTGGAAAGAAGCTGCCTTTCGAAACAATGACAATGATATCAACCAACCAAGCATTGTATAGTACCAAAGGTTTGGAAAACTTTTCTTATGAAAACCATTGCAAGAGTTCTTATCGCACAATTTCACGAGCAAATCATTTCTTCACTCTTCTTTTTTTTTATTAAAAAAAGGCATTCTCCACCACCTTTAATCAAATATATTCTTGCTATGTTCGTAATTTCAAATGAGATAAACTTTATTGAAAACAACTATTTTCGAATATTACAACAGCCAAATCTCTCTTACAATTTTAATATTTTGTAGATTTCTCAAAAATATCCAATAGTCAATCACCAATATGATTGCGTTGTTGTTGGTGCCGGTGGTGCAGGACTTAGGGCAGCTTTCGGATTGGTCATGAATGGATTTAAGACGGCATGTTTAACCAAGTTGTTTCCAACGAGGTCCCACACTGTTGCCGCACAAGGTGGAATAAACGCGGCTTTAAGTAACTACGAAGATGATTATTGGGTGTGGCATCATTATGACACTGTTAAAGGTACCACATTATCCAATTTTATGTATTTGAAATTACTTTGAAATATGTTTATATTGTTCATATATTGTTCATTATTTTATGTTTTTCATTATTGTGTAAATATTCAGAATATTTTTTTAATTTAATAGAAATTGGTAAGATAAGTTGGATTGGCAATGACGATTGATAACTATCTCCATTATTTTACGTCTTCTTGTTTACATCTTATTTGTTGTGGTTTGTTTATTTTGTGAAGGTATCCATTAAGTTGGCAATGTCCGGTTAGAATTCCAATTATAGTTGGAAGAGTGCTTTTAGACATCGCCAAAAATGTCACATTTATGTAAACTTGTTATTGACATATTATTAAGAAATTTCTTCTAGATTTGAATATGATTGAGTTTCTTCGAAAAAAAAAGTAAAAAAGTACTCCATGTTAACTTAATTCTTCTGTTGATTTTTGGTAGTAGAGATCCCGAGCTGTGTATTAGTTGTCCCAAATATATATTATATTCTTCTATTATTTCAGTGCTGTATTATTTATTAGAATGTATTTTCTTTCCACTAGTTCGTTGTGCATTACTTTAGTTTTTGCTAAATTCATTTTGAGACCCACTTTATTGTTGGCTGTATTTAGTTCATTAATTTGTGTAGTTCTTCAGGGCTATTGGCGATTACGACTATGCCATCAGCGAAACTTAGATGGTTAAGACACTCTCTATGATCTATTTTTAATCCTTTGTTGGTCCAGTCCAGTTCACAGAAGATTTCTTCTAATGTTGCTGCAAACAGCTTTGGGTATATCGCGATAAGTTTGGGGTTGTTTTATATATCATTACTCTTGCTTTGGCTTCTTTGTATAATATATTGGCGAGAGTTTCTATATAAGGCCTGTCAATATCTTGTTTCGTTAGGTCTTCTATTATTGTCTTAGGATATATCGAGTCGAAAGCCATCTCAAAGTCTATAAAGGCTATGGCTAGTGGAAGTTCGTACATATACCGGGTGCGTCTCAAAAGTGGCTCACCCCTATAACTTCTTTATTTTTTCCGATAAAAAAAAACGAGATTTGGTATGTTAGTATATGACGTAAATTAGGACTGATTGACGTATTCAGTTGTTTTCGATCACTTCCTGTTTCACCAGAAATGACTACAACTTTTGATTTTTAAATGGCACCCTCGATATTTTTTTACTTTTTTTGATAGAAAATGACACTCTGAATCGAATGACATATCATGTCTTTTGACATATTCGCTCAAAAACAAATTGTATTTTAAATTTCAATTTAGAGTACCATGACTGTGTTAAAAATACTAATTTTTAATCAAGGAGCCTTGAAAAAATAGATTTGATCCTCTAATGTTTTTAGTGTCGTGTCCAGGTCAGTTAAAAGATGCCCAAATCATAATTATAATCATATCTCAATTTTTGGAACAAAACTCTCAATTTTTGGAAATGGAACAAGTATTTTTTTACGAATAATTTAATACCACACACTTGGTATTTCGAGTCAAATTGTCGCTATGAACCACAGGTTACAATTTCAAATAAACTATATGAAAAAATGTCTAAAATTGACATATGATATGTCATTCTATTCAGAGTGTCATCTTCTATCGAATAAAGTACACAAATACCGAGGGTGCCATTTAAAAATCAAAAGTTGTTGTCATTTCCGGTGAAACCGGAAGTGACCGATTATTCAATTATTGAATAATATGCCAATCAGTTCTAATTTATGTCATATACTAACATACCAAAATTCGTTGTTTTATCTGAAAAAATAGTTATAGGGGTGAGCTACTTTTGAGACGCACCCGGTATATTAGTAATAAAATTTATTTTATATTATTTATATTTTTTCCGTATTTATGAAGTAGGGCATCAATATACTCGAGCAAAAGCCCTAAACAAACATCATGGATGGATACAAAATGTAAGCGATGTGAAAGATATTTACAAAAAAATATCTATTTATAGTGTGATATGCAAAATGTGTTTGTAACTTGGTCAAATAAACGAATCGTAAGTTCGCTAAAAAGAATCGTAAAGCCCATCGCCTAACCTCCATATTGAAAACATAATATACATTTTACAATATCCCTATGTAACAATATTTTACGGTCGCTACCGGCATAGTGGTCTGCCGCGTCCGGTTTGGGCTGAACCATCGTAGGCCATCGCCGAAGACGACCCTGAGCGCCGTCGTAACGGTCAAGAAGTGGGAGATGCGCGCGAATGGAATTCGGGCCTACGTGCCAAAAAGGCAGTTAGCGACAAGAGAGAAGTGAACGAAGCGGCGCCTGTTTTAACTTTGAAAGCTCTCTGCAATGTATAACCCGTTCTTTTTTTTTTAATAGATAAGTGAATTAATTACATTAATGAATTTTAATTTCACTTCCTATCATATTTGGCGTCCCAACTTGGGCCATACATTGTGAAATGAAGAGTTTTTAAAAAATAGACATTTTTCTCAATTGCACAGTTCAGTGGTGAAACAGTGCTTGTGAACATTGTAAATTGTGCTAGTGAACATTCTGGAACATTTGTGTGTGGACAAAATTCCTAGAAATTTACTCAGCATAGTGCAAACTCGTCGTTTGGCTGCAAATTCAACACTAAACCCTGATAAGCTTCACCAACTTCAACAAAATCATCCAAGCACCTTGGGTTGAAAGAAAAGAAAAACAAAAAAAAATCAAAACCCGCATCATTTCGGTAAGTTTTTGAACATTTTTTTTCACTCTGCAACCTTCAGAAGAAAACCGATACTGGCTACGGAGCCACAGTAGTAGAAAAACATCTAAATTACGTAACATGGCAGAAGCAAACGTCACTCTTACGCAGCAACAATTTGAAGCACTCTTATCACGCATCAGTAATTTGTCAACACAGTCGTTGGAAACAGGGAATTTCTCTTCATGTTCGTCGCGTTTTAACGGTAGCAAAGACTCTGACGTAAATGCTTTTATAGACGCTATAGAAACCTTCAAAGACTGCTCAAAAGTGTCCGACGCGAACGCTCTGCGTGGTTTATCTATGCTACTCGATGATTTTGCCGCTACGTGGTGGTACGGAGTAAAAGACACTGTCGCAACTTGGGAAACTGCTCTCGATCTTTTACGTCTAACTTTCGGTCCAAGAAAACCAGCATATCTTGTATATCGGGAAATATTTTCAAAAGAACAAGATATTAGAACACCTTCTGATGTATTTATCTGTCAATCGCGTTCATTGCTTGCGCAACTTCCAGCAAATACCCTAACTGAGTCGACGCAGATTGATATGATTTATGGCTTGTTACATAAACGAATACGAGAAAAAGTACCTCGAGATAAAATCCGTACTTTTAACGAATTACTTAAAGAATGTCGCATGGTAGAAGAAACGTTTGTTGATCATTTTGACAGGCCTTCTAACGATAAACGTCCAAAATGTCGATTTTGCAAATATTTGGGACATACAGAAGACCAGTGCCGAAAGAAACAAGGTACTGCAAGTACATCAACAAAAACTTCGACTACAGCGCCTTCACCAAGTAATCCAGTGACATCTGTTCCAAATTCGACCTTGGAAAGTCATCCTCCCCGAATATCAAATCAAGTGACATGTTACGGATGTAATAGACCTGGCTACATTAAATCCAACTGTCCAACTTGTTCCAACACCGCAGCTTCTGTCGAATTCTGTGCTCTTGACAATGTAGAAGTTCCTGTTTACCCTCAGTCACGTCCTATTTTGCCTATAAACATACTAGGAATGAATGGTCAAGGACTGATTGACACAGCCGCCAAGCACAGCGTTGCCAGTGGCTCATTATACGAAGCATTAAGGAAACACAACGTTCCGTATACAAAAACCAGAAGTACGATTAAACTTGCAGATGGTACCGTGAAAGAACAGGAAGTAAAACTTCTGAGAGTTGATGTTTTACTAGGAAGTCGTTATATACCAACAACATTTATGACTCTACCCAATGCTGACAAAACCTTACTAGGCATAGATTTCCTTCGAAGTGCTAACCTTGTTCTGGACATCGGACAGCAAAATTGGAGTTTTGCAGACGATATTTTGACTAAGTATCCCTTGGTATATGAAGATGACCACAAAATTTCCAATATAGAAGTACTTTCCGTTTCAATTTTGAGATCAGATGAAGCCATAATGTTATCCAGTGAAGAACATAAGCAGTTATCAGACCTTCTTGAAGCCAACCAGGATATTTTCGCTCTAGGGGGAGAACCAACTCCTTATGCTGAACACTATATTGATACCAAGTCACACGCACCAATTTCAGTACCACCGTACCGAATGACGCCTGGAAACAAAGAAAAACTTCGACAAGAACTAGACAAGATGTTACGAGATGACATTATAGAAGAATGTGAGTCAGCTTGGTCAGCACCGGTAGTACTCGTTCCAAAGAAGAATGGCGAAACTAGGGTATGTTGCGATTACAGAGCTTTGAACGCTATTACGACACCCGTGCATTATCCGTTACCTCGAATGGACGATCTACTGCATGCAACCAAAAAGACTATATACATGTCAGCCATTGATTTACGTGCGGGATATCATCAAGTGAAAGTGCGGGAACAGATAGAGACAAAACATCGTTCGTGACCCCGTTCGGAACATTTCGGTACCTGGTCATGCCGTTCGGTCTGCGTAACGCACCAGCAACTTTCCAAAAGCTGATCGACAGATTTCGAAGTGGACTTCCATCTATCCTGATACTCGCCTACCTCGATGACGTGCTGGTGATATCTGAAACGTTTGATCAACATATGACAGACTTAAAACGTGTCTTCGAAAGACTCAGAACGTACAAACTCCGTGCGAATCGTGATAAATGTACATTTGCGACTCCACAAGTAAAATATTTGGGACATTTGATCACCTCTAATGGCATTCAAGTAGATCCAGAGAAAACTTCAGCTATTACGAAGATGCATCCGCCACAAAATGTAAAGCAGGTTCGGTCATTCTTACAATCCGCTTCCTGGTATCGACGGTTCATCGACAGATTTGCTGAATTGTCCAGACCCTTGTCTAATCTTTTGAAGAAAGATGCTACTTGGAACTGGAGACCCGATCAGAAAAACTCATTTGAATCTTTACTAAGAGCTTTAGCTAGTGCACCAGTACTCCAGCAGAACGACCCTAGCAAACCATATGTGCTACGAACTGATGCCTCATCTTACGCCTTAGGCGCGGTCCTAGTTCAAGGTGAAGGTTCTGAAGAACATCCTGTCGAATATGCCAGCAGATTACAAACAACCGGTTTCAGTGCTGCTTACCTCAACTTTGCAAGAGAAATGCGAAATCCTGATGAAGTACAGAATGATCCACGGCCTGTTAGGGAAAATGAAAATTTTATCCCAGAAATAACACCTTACCTGCAAGGAATGTTTACAACGATTATGGAAGCTAAAGGCCAGCATGAAAAATGTCAAGATCGTCAAAAGAAGTATGCCGATAACTCACGATCGACACCGTCTACTTTTGATGTTGGAGACAAGGTTTTTGTGACGCTACATACGAAGAGTAGTCACACTAAACAGAGTACTACTAAATTTGATCCGAAAAGGGACGGACCCTATGTCATAACTAGACAGGTTTCGCCCGTCTCTTATGAAATTGCCAACATTGATACTCCAGGACAACCTTTAGGCATTTATCACTGTAGCAACATATTCAAGTATCGTGGAGATGACGCTACAGAACCTAAAGTTCCTATCAGAAGAAGAGGCCGCCCGAAGAAAACCAACCACACTAGTGCTGGTCCCTCGACATCTCAATGTCCACGGAACCAGAGGGGGAGACTGTAACAATATTTTACGGTCGCTACCGGCATAGTGGTCTGCCGCGTCCGGTTTGGGCTGAACCATCGTAGGCCATCGCCGAAGACGACCCTGAGCGCCGTCGTAACGGTCAAAAAGTGGGAGATGCGCGCGAATGGAATTCGGGCCTACGTGCCAAAAAGGCAGTTAGCGACAAGAGAGAAGTGAACGAAGCGGCGCCTGTTTTAACTTTGAAAGCTCTCTGCAATGTATAACCCGTTCTTTTTTTTTTAATAGATAAGTGAATTAATTACATTAATGAATTTTAATTTCATTTCTATTTATTTTCTTAGGCTCGGATTGGATAGGAGACCAAAACGCTATCCACTACATGACGAGAGAAGCACCCCGATGCATTCAAGAGCTAGAAAATTGGGGAATGCCTTTCTCCAGAATGATGGACGGCCGCATATACCAACGAGCTTTCGGTGGTCAAACTTTGGGCTTCGGCGAAGGGGGTCAAGCCCACAGGACCTGCGCCGCCGCCGATTCCACAGGACATTACATGTTGCACGCCCTCTATGGTCAAGCATGCAGACATAATGTTGATTTTTTCATCGAATTTTTCGTGATGGACTTGCTGATGAAAGATGACGTGTGTCAGGGTGTCATAGCTTGGTTAGTATCTTTGAGATAATATCAGTTGATAAAAATGGAGGGGGACCCGAAGAAAATGAGCGCGATGGGGAGTGCAAAAAGGACATATTTGCTGCACGACGCATGAGTTTTGCAGTTCTGCAATCATGCTGAGTGCAACACATGTGCTTTTCGCACATGTTGCATACAACATTTTTTCTTTTCATTGACATTCTTATTTAAATGTTTATGAGAAAGTTTTAACAATGTAATTCAGAGAATAATATTACCACTAACAATGATACTATAAACAAATATTATTTTTATTTTTTATAACTTTTTTTGGATGGCCTTTTTGAAAATGTACCAGTCTTTGTCGGCGTGAGACAAGGGCAGCCTCAGTCCTACTTTCTTCTCTCTTTAATATCATTATGGATCAGATGATTAAAGATGTGAAACTCTTGGAGATTGGATACAGAATGGGTCAGAAATCCGTCGGAATTGTATGTTATGCCGACGATGCAGTACTGATGGCAGAGAACGAGGATGACGCACAGCGACTCCTTTACCGGCTCACAAATAATGCTGAATCTCCCAACATGCAGATATCCGTGGAAAAAACGCAATCAATGGTAATAACGAAAGAACCAATCAGATGCAAACTCGTAGTTAACAACCAAACAATTAACCAAGTATCCCAATTTAATTACTTGGGCGTGAATATCTCTGGTAACAGAAATCTCTCAGACGAAGCAAGGCTCCAAGCAAACAAAGCAGCACGAATATATGGCTACTTAAGAGATTCCATATGGAGAAATTTATGTCAAGAGAAAGTAAAGTTCGCATATACAAGACTTGTGTTAGACCAGTTCTTACTTATGCTAGAGAGACTTCAGCCGAAACATCAAAAATATAATACTCAGAACAACAGAAATGAAAGTATTAGGAACAATACGCGGAATCACTCTAAGAGATAGAATGCGAAACCACGACATCAGAGAGGAACTGGGAGTGCAAGACATAGTGAGGTGGAGAAAATCAAGAAGGCGTTATTGGGAAGACCATGTTGAAAGAATGGACCACGGCAGAATAGCAAAATGGGCGCGAACACAAATACTCAACACACCCAGACCACCTGGCAGGCCACCAAAAAGATTGTACGAAAGTTGGACATCCGGTTCACAAGAGGCTTAAGTAGTTGTTTTATACAGGGATAACCTTATTGCAAGAAGAAGAAGAGAAGAAGAAGATAACTTTTTTTAAGTCAATTTTAATTTTAATGGCGCAGTTTGAACAATTTACCAGGGTAATTGATGGACAAACTTCATTTCCAGTAGTCTTGAATATTATTTTCCTTTCTGCTCGTGGAGGTTTCGGGATTCTTGTTCTTCACTTAAAACTCTTCCGGAATGTTGCTGCGTGGTATCCAGTACTGGTACTTGATTTACCTTCCAGGATTTGAGCAGCTATCTGATTTTTTTTTGGCAAGTGACTCTTCAATGTAATTCTCAGCTACATTTGAAAACTTCCATCCCCCATGACGTTTTAGTGTTAACATGTTTGCCCCAGATTCCACAAGAAATATTGCAGAAGATCTGCGGAAACAATGTCCTGTATATTCCATTGGATCTTTAATATTAAGGTATTTTGCAATGTCACTGGGACCTTATAAAAATCTATTATGGCTGGTAGATTGACGACGAAGCAATGTATATTTGCTGATACATTTCAATAAAATGAAAACTTCTAATTTTACCGCTTAGTACAAGTGATCGAGGTTTGTTCGTATTGCTATTAGGAATTTTCACAATTATGATCGAACCCGTTTCATTAATATATTTAATCATTTAATGTTACTTTTTGCAACTCGTCCCTGCGGTATGCTTCCGCAATGCCAACTACTGCAACTATCTACAATACAATAATAAAAAATAAGCAGATATAAATTTTATGTAGTTAAACATTGTAGTGCTACCTTCGTCATTAGATATTTATTATCTGAAGCTTCAATTAAAAATTCGTCAAATTCCTGTCGGGTAAAAATTTTTGATTTCTTAGGACGGTTTGGTAAAATGTCGGATTTCAACATTTTTATTGATTAACAGCGTAGCCTTTAACATTGAATACTCAAATATCGAAAGGGTTGATGGCTTTAATATCTCTGATTTTTCCTTCGAATATGCTAGGAGAACGTTTTCAGTAATGTCCTTAACAAATCTTGTGGTACACCAAATTTCATACACCTTTTTACCTCTGTCGGGTAATAAATCTGTTGTAGCTTTATTTGTAATTTCAATTATTATATCTGGAGGGGTGCCAATCATTCCTTCGTCACTATCCGAATACAACATTTTTAACAGCTTACAGCAAAACACAACTTGAAAATTATGGCAATTTTTGCTGGCAGGCGACATTCATGGTCAATTTCCTGGGCAAAGCCACTGTATTTTTTAACTTATTACTTCACATAAGACTTTATATGGCGACTAACAAAAATATACTTGCATTAGTAACAATATTTGGATTAACAAAATCAAGGTATATTTTTTTTCTCTTTAGTTAAACTCGTCATTAATAATGTCAGGGTGTTTTTTGCACTAGTGCAAAAAAATAACTTTTAATACAGTAGATAGGTAGTGTAAAAAATAGTTACTTTGTGCACGATCGTAGAAAAAGGTTGTAGCTAATATGATCCGGGGGTGGAGAGGCTGTTTCATGCAGCAGAAGATAGGGAAGTTTTCAACGAAATAGTCATGGAGATCGGTAACGCCTGAAGACAGGCATGGCATCGCAAGAAGAAGAGAAGATTTAAACTGTGTTTTAAATGTCTAAAAATATAAAGCTGGGTAGTATAGACTCAGTTAACTAATTTGCTAGTATTGTTTTACGTTAAGATAATAAATGTTATTAGTTAAGAATAAAGTAAGTTAACGTAATTATTTAATGACAGAAGATAGATACGTTACTGAAAGAACTAAGGAAAATTCATAAAATTGATGTATCCTAATATTCTAGACTCGAAGTAAATAAAAGCGAAAATGCAAAAATTTCTGTTTTAGGAATTTAGAAGATGGGACGATACACAAATTCTGGGCCAACAATACCGTCATAGCTACGGGTGGTTATGAAAGATCATATTTCTCTTGTACTGCTGCGCACACGTCTACAGGCGATGGTACCGGGATGGCAACCAGAGCCGGTTTACCCCTCCAAGACTTGGAATTCGTCCAGTTCCATCCGACGGGAGTTTACGGCGCCGGAGTCCTGATTACAGAAGGCGCACGCGGCGAAGGAGGATATTTTGTCAATTCGAATGGAGAAAGGTTTATGGAAAGACACGCCCCCAATGCCAAGGATCTTGCATCCAGAGATGTGGTATCCAGAGCTCTTACAATAGAAATCATGGAGGGTCGAGGCTGTGGTCCCAAAAAAGAATACATCAACTTACAACTGCACCACATTCCTAAAGAGGTCATCATGAAACAACTTCCTGGCATACGAGAATCTGCCGCTACCTTTGCTGGCGTGGACATTCTTAGAGAATGCATACCCGTTATTCCTACCGTTCACTACACCATGGGCGGTATACCTACCAATTACAGAGGTCAGGCGATCACGCAGGTGGCGCCTGGAAAGGATAAAGTAGTGAAAGGTTTGTATGCTTGTGGAGAATGCGCTTGTGTATCGGTGCACGGAGCCAATAGATTGGGAGCCAATTCATTGCTGGAAACTGTGGTTTTTGGTAAAGCGGTAGCTGAATGTATAACGGAGAAAAGTTGTCCCGGTGAAAAGATCAATTCAGATGATGAGTTGGGCGGGGATACTCTGCAAATGTTTGATGAGATGAGACATAGTAAAGGAAAATATTCTGTTGGACAATTAAGGTGAGTCATCTAACTATAATTTTATAATTGGCGATATACAGAGTGATCCGAACTGTATTCCGGAAACTGCAGCAGTATATTCTGTATGGATTAAAATAAATAAAAAAGTTCGCATAAATGTATGTCCTAAAATGCTTAGTTTCGAAGATACAGGGTGTAGGAATTTAATTTTATTCAAATAATTTCTTAAGTAAAATTGATGTCTGGGGTCTCTATTGTAGAGGGCGCCACCGTCGGCGCAATCTATATATTTTTAACTTTTTTGAAGAGTAATAACTTTTCGTCCGTACCTTTATAAAACTACTGAGACTGAGTAAAAAAATATACATTTACGGTTTTTACGTAAAAAAGGTATCTTGGTAAAAATCGTTACGAATAATGGTTCTCGACATACTTTGAATCGAAATTATCAATACCTGTCATTATTGACATCAATTATTATTAAACATGTCGACTAAATAGGTAGTTGTTAAACTGAAATCATAAATTTGAAATGTTTTTGTGCCAAAAGTTCAACAGCAACTGTTTTATCATAATTTTTTCGAAGAAGAAGTTATGATTACTTTAAAAAACAAAAAATTCCAAAATTTATCATTTCAGTTAAATAACCCATAATAATGAAATAACTATCTACTCAACAAGTTTATTTTTCTCAAAAACAATGACTTTATTGTTCTGAATAATCAATAAAATTCTGTCAATAATGACACGCATTGACTATTTTTATTCTAAATATCTTGAGAACGGTTACTCGTAGCGATTTTTACCAAGATACATTTTTTACGTAGAAAATCACGGAAATGTGTATCTTTTCACTCAGTAGGTTTTATACAGGTACAGACGAAAGGTTATAACTCTTATTCACATTAATGTCATATTCACCTCAATATCAAATATCTCATGTCAAAAAATTCCCAGACACAAATTTTCAACCAAATATTGAAATACTAATAACAAATGTTGTTACTTCAGAAAATATTTCGAAAAAATCGGAATAAAAATGAAACTCCTACACCCTGTATCTCCGAAACTAAGCATTTTAGAACATATATAACTTTATAGGAACTTTTTTACTTATTTTTATCTACAGAATATACTGCCGAAGTTTTCGGAATACAGTTCGGAATTACAGTTCGGATTGGTTCTTCCAAGTTGATCGGCACCGAAAAAATCTATATTTCACTTCATTACACTTCTAACTTCTCTTTACAGTTTCCTAATAATTTTTCATTGGTAAAAATGTGTTAATTTTTGAATTCATAGAACTTATTTGGCACAGTTTTTAATATAACAACTTCGTTTAAGGCTGATGCTGCAAAAAACGATGCAGAGACATGCTGGCGTATTCCGAACTCAAGAAATCCTCGCAGGGGGAGTCCAAAAAGTCGCTGAGCTTTATAAAGAAATAAACAATATCCAAATCACCGATAAAGGGTTAATTTGGAATACGAACCTTGTCGAATACTTTGAACTGAAGAATCTTTTTATAAACGCTCTCCAAACTATAACAGCTATGGAGGCAAGGAAGGAATCAAGAGGTGCCCATGCCAGAGACGACTGTAAGCAAAGAATCGACGAGTACGATTATTCCAAGCCGATCCGCAATCAGACAAAAAAATCGTTTGAAGATCATTGGCGAAAACATACATTATGCTGGATGGATGTTGAGCAAGGAGAGGTTAGTAACTATATATCCCTTATTACATTAGGTTTTGGTCTTGGTCTATTTTACTGCAATCTTTTCAGATCTATCGTGGTCCTCTGATGTCTTGTTTACAAACTTCAGTTGAATTCACAAAGTTTGATAAGTTGGTTTCGTCCATTTAGAGGCATCAGTTCGAAACGTCGAGGGCGTCATCCTGTATAGCCCGTCTCCAATTATGCCAAAATCGACCCCCATTTTTCTTCAATATCAAATCTTTAGTCCCACCCTGATAAAGAGTTAAACGAAACGTCGCCGTCGTGTCCAACTTTGCAGGGTGGGACCGTGTGCACCGTCGCTCACATAGCCTACCAACCAAATTTGGTCACGATCGGACGACATCAACTTTTGACGTTTCTTACGTCAAAACTAACTGTCACAGTGACATGTGTCGTACACGGTTAAGTTGGCCTTGGTCCAGTCTATCGACATACCAAATTTCATTTAAATCAGACAAATTTTTTATTCCATTCATTGATAATGGGGTCTCGTAGTCCACGATACATCGTCAAAATATCATGAAAACCATCTTAGAACATTCCACATTAACAATACCATCTAAATTCCGAGTTTCAGCCCCCTAGCTCTCATAGGCTCCGAGTTATATTACAACTTTTCCTCTCCAAGATCGTTACAATTTTTCTTCTCGCGAGCTCGTGTGTCACGGTCTTCAATTTTTAGTCCCATGGCACGTAAAGAAGACCCAATCAATTGTTTTTGCCAGGTCATCGCACATATGTTTAATGTGTTCTACCATTTTTTCGCCTGATTGATAAAATCAGCACATGACTTTTATATCAAAATAAAAACACTAAATCACCACAATACACCAAAACACTTTTACTTTTACACTGGACCGTTTAACATGGTTAGCGAAACGCGCGTCCAGTGTAAAAGTAAAAGTGTTTTGGTGTATTGTGGTGATTTAGTGTTTTTATTTTGCTGTATAACATCAAAGGTTCCAACCCTCAACTGTAATGACTTTTATATGTTAAGGCCGTTAAGCTTTTATATGTTAATCTAGCGGTCTACTGGTCATCATTATCAGAATTTTTCCACTGTATACCAGGTTGCCTCAGCTAGAATGAGTATACCATTTTTCCTGCTTTATACAGGGTGTTTAAAAAAACATGTGCCATCTCTCGTAGAAACATAACATAACAATATTCCTCACGTAAAAATAAGACTTATTTTTCATATCAACATAGGTCCGATTCTGCTTTGTTTCGTAGCTATAGGGTGTTAAAGTCTTAATAATATTTCGATTTATTATAATTTTCTTCCAAGTACTTTTAGTGATTTGAATGAAATTTTGGGAGTAAAAATTACTATAAGTGTCACATATTTTAATGCTAAACAAATGTCAACAAATTAATCAGGGACGTGCATAACAATATTCCTCACGTAATGACGTCTGGGTTTTCACTGGAATTTTTTTCAAGAAAAAAACATGTGCGCCACTGAGTTTTTTCTTTTGGTATCAAAATTGTGTAGGCCGTTTAATGCCAATTAAAAGTTATCTCTTGATATTTTGTCCAATTCGGCCTCCTTGATGAGATTTATAAACGCAATTTTATTAATCACAATTAATAAAATTGAAATAAAAACAAAATTAATAAATTATATATTTAACGTAATTTATTATTAAATATTATTAGTATTAGTCCAACATATAGCAATTTCAAATAAAAAATAATGGTATTTAAGATAATTACAAAAAAACTAATTTTAAACAGTTTTAACATCCTGTAACTCTAAAACTATGCATTTCCATACTCATGTTTATAGCAACTTTTTTTCATATTTTTTGATGAGGAATCAATGAGTACTTATTTAAAATTTTCGCAAGTTAATGCTATTATTTTTTTTAAAGGTTGCTATTAGACTTGGATCAAGGCAAATTAATAAAATTGCGTTTATCTCATCAAGGAGGCCAAAATCGACAAAATATCAAGAGACAACTTTTAATCAGCATTAAATTGCTTACATTATTTTGCTAACAAGAGAAAAAAAGTCAGTGGCGCACATATTTTTTTTAGAAAAATATTCTCCTGATAACCCATATGGACGTCCCTGGTGAATATGTTGACACTTTTTTAGCTTTAAAATATGTCGCATTTATAGTAACTTTTACCCTCAAAATTTCATTTGAAACGCAAACAGTACTTAAAAGAAAATTATAATAAATCAAAAAAATATTAAGATTTTAACACCCAGTAGCTACGAAACAAAGCAGAATCGAACCTATATTGATATAGTAAACGCCACGAATGTTTGGGAGTGATTCATCACTTGATGAAGTTAGAATCGACATGCGCGCTATCATTTTTACATTAAAAACGTAAATTTTTACCGCAGATGTAGGTTTTTAAAGGCCCGGCCTATTCATCTGCCTGCGCTCCTCCTACTAATTCTAAAATGTTATTTAGTGATTGACAAAGACGATACTATATCGCGTTTCTTTGATTGATTCGTTTTTATGCGTCAGTCCATTGGTGTGCTTGCAGTGCGACCAATGGGGCATTCCAGTTTATATTTTTAACCAAGTATATGTTTTGACAAGACTTTGACAGTTAAAACAACAAATTACCACAGATTGTATATTGATTATTATATGATATGAAACACCACGGCACTGGAATTAAGTTTTATGTGACTGAACAGATTAGTTCACATGGTAGCGACCTTTGAATAAGAAGACTAAGGAAGGAGCATATAAAAAATCTTAGGTCCACCGCTATGGGCCTCAAATATGGCCGACTTAAATTCCGGTTTATCAGTGCCGTTCTAATTTTATTTAAAAAATGTAAAACTATGATGTAGGGTAGACGTGGGGCAGACTCAATAATGTTTTTTTTACTTTACGTTGTGAATAAATGTTGGTAGTTATTAAAATTGTTATAAAAATATAAAATTCTAATAAAAATAGTTAAGTTATAATAATTATTTATAACCATAAACATCCGATACGCTACTGAAGCAGGTAAGTCAAATTGACGTATCTAAATTCTTTGACATCTAATCTTTGACAAGTAGTAAATAAAAGCAATAATGCAAGAAAAAATATATAATTAGTTAATTTAAGTGAATTTCATAAATGATCGGTTTACTACACGTATATATATAATAATAGTCACTTACTAGCGAAAAGTTGTTCCATTATTTCACACATTTTTGCCGAGATCTACCATACGCTACACAACCAACTATTTTAGAGTCTTTTTCGACAAATCGCGATAGTGTCACTGTTAATTTAAGTTCTGCCACAATTTCCATCTAGATTTACTACTTTTATACAACTATCAGTAGTCGAATAAATAATAAATAACATAAAATAAGCTCCGTAAAGACTAACAAATCCACAAAATTTCAAATCAAATTCAAATGTGTCAAATGAATCGTCAAACAGAACTGTCAAGGATCCCTACCCTAGAGTCCTTTTTCCGCCCACCATGCATGAATACATATAGCATTATGCTCCTTCCTTAGTCTTCTTATTCAAAGGTAGCGACCGATGAATCACTCCCAAACATTCGTGGCGTTTACTATATGAAAAATAGATCTTATTTTTACGTGATGAATCTCCCCACGAGAGATGGCACATGTTTTTTGAAACACCCTGTATAGTTGTTTTGAATTTGTTATTCTACCTACACCTTGTCACTGTTGCATTGGTTGGGTTAATAACTGTATCATTTTATAATCTGACGAGAGAAGATATAATGAGTCAGAGAATATAGTAGTCGGATACAATAATTTCCTCTAAAATATGTAATAAATATTGTAACATTTTATTTGTTTCTCATAAAAAACATGAGTAATAACAGTGATAAAATTTATATCTAAAGCGGCCCATACATTATCAAACAAATTGCGCAACGAAGCGATGCGCAACGTTGCTTTGCACAACTGATTCAGCGGTCCATACATTATCAAACAAGTTGCGCAACGAAGCGATGCGCAACGTTTCGTTGCACAACTGTATCACCCATGCACTTAATAAAATTTTGATCAAACTTTTCATTAAAAGTTGTGCATTGTTTGAGAAATAATCATGTCCTCAATTGCCATTGCGTCAATTATTATCGTATCTACCCTAGATAATTTCAATGATACCAAAAAACGAAAAAGAAAACAAAGAATTTGGATGAAAGAACTAAAATATTGCACAACGAAGCGCAACACACACATACACTACACAACGCGCTGCGCAAACGCCTGTTGCTCAAAAGAATTCAAACATTCTTGAAACTTATCAAACATTTGCGCAACGCATCAAACGTTACCATACATTGGCAACTCGTTGCGCAACAGCCTGCGTTGCGCAATTTCTTTGATAATGTATGGGCCGCTTTAACAAATAGGTCTATTGCTATATTTGACATTTTTTATTGAGTTATTTCTGTTTCAGGTTATTCTTACATATAGAGCAGTAACGGATTGTACCATGAATGAGGCAGAATGTCCATCGGTACCACCTAAAATTAGAGCATACTAAGTAGTTATTGTTGCATAAAGAGAAAAGTAATCAAAATAGCAAATTTCATTTGCATAATTATTATTTATTGTATTGATATTAGCCTTTAACGAAAAAAGAGAATAATAAAACACTATGAAACAATATACAGCATATAGTAATTATTGCTAATGTTATAAAATCATGTTACTCAGCTTATTCACTACCAGCCCAGAGGTAAAGTACCTACAAGTCTCCAGTGGCGGCTCGTCAGGTGCAGTAGGTGAAGGGGCACTTCACCGAAAAAAATACTCAAATTAAAGAAAAAACTTTACTGCTTAAAATATTAATTTAGTTTAATATATTTACATGTATCTAAATAATAAAATGGTAATTTTTTATAAATTATTTTTTTTCCGGGCGGACCTTTTCATAATAGGTCCACCGCATCGTTAATTCCGGCGGAAAAAGTAGCATTATTGGCCCGCATGCGCCTACGTTTCCACGAAGCCACAAGTAAAGAGAAAATATTTGTGAGCCGAGCGGCTGCGGCTGCACAGTTTCCATGGCAACGTGACGTCAGCCTAGCGGCAGCATGTAAATTCCCCGCCCCGAAATTTTTTATCGGCGACCGATGTGAATGAGTTTTTGGGCAGTTCGCTTCGTCTTCCTTTATGCTAATATTCGGTTACTTCGGCGAGTAATTAACTGTGTAAAGACTGTAAAGCTGTTGTTGATTATTTATTGTTGTTTGTTAATGGTTTTTGTTGATTTAACTTGTTAATTTGTGCTGTTTGTTTTGTTGTTGTGTTTTAAAACTGCTGTGTGTGTGTCAGTGTTCAAAAATGAATCCAATAAATGACTTGGTGTGCAATTAGAAACATGAAAATTTGAGCTGATTTACAAAAATTAGTAAGGTTAGTAATATAAATAAGTCAAATTTATTTTGGTTAATATTGCTTAGTAAACATTAATGTAATAATAATTGAATAATAATTGAATGACTCCTCGATTGTAACCAACAATTTTTTCAATATCGAAATTTCAGTGAAAAAACCGAGGAAAAAACGTTATACCTATGAAAATTACAACCTTATTTCACTGAATTCTCTATTTTGAAAAAAATGTCGGTTACAACGTTTTTCGGGGAACCTCAATAAATACAGTGTTTGCCATAAAGTTGGAACCATATGGACGGTTTTTCTCGGTATTAGAGTTTAAAAAAAACTTTTTGTATGTAACCATATAGACGTTTTTTTATATTAGAGTTTTAAAAAATATTTTTGTGGCAATCAATTCTGCTTTAAAAACAAAGTTAAAATGCACCAAGTCAAAGGTGAAACATAATTTTGTTAGTCACCTTTTTTAAAATAATAATAATTTAACTGATTTTTAAAAATTTCTTTTAAATATTTTGTATTTGACAGCTCCCAGATGTTAGCTGTCAACTTTGACTTGGTGCATTTGAAGTTGTTTTCAAAGCAGTAGTGATTGCCACAAAAATATTTTTTAAAACTCTAATATAAAAAAACGTCCATATGGATCCAACTTTATGGGGGACACCTCGGGGGACTTTATTATATTTAATTTAAATTTAATTATATTTTCACTGGAAATGTAATGTAAAATAATGTGTTTATCGAAAACTGGTTGTATCTCTTTTTATTTAATGTGTTTTAGCCCAAACTAAAAATAACGAAAATATTATAGATATTAGTGTATAAATAATAACAAAGAAAAATGTTGACAAAATGGTGAATGCAGCAAAAATTTTTCAAATAATATTTTAAAAAATGTTGACAAAATGGTGAATGCGCCAAAAAAAATTTCAAAATTTAACTCTTCACCTAATTTTATACCCACGAGCCGCCACTGCAAGTCTCAATAGTTTTTATAAAGGCAGCTTCTTTGGAGCTGTGAAACTTGTTAGATAACATAAGCTAAGGGAATATTTAAGTAGGTACGTCGGGTTATATGTATGCATATGTTTATTAGTTACCAGTCTGGTTATGCATAAGCTGTCATCAAAACTATGTGACTACTTTAATAAAATGTACTGTTTTAGCTATCTAAATTTGTCTCAGTTAATCCATTGGTTCACAATCCATTAATGTATGTCTGTATGTAACTAGAATAAGCAGGAATATGACAAAGTTACATATTAAACATTATGGAAACATTTAAGGGGGTTCACGTAATATAATTTTGGCCACAACCACTGATGCCAGAATATTACCTACCCATCAACTTATAATCCGGTTGAACCGCCATTTTGGTACTCCACGATCAAATAATAATCGTAATTGCAAAAGTTCATCGTACTACGGCCGGTCTTGAGAGATTTTGACCATGTCTGCTACAGCGAAGCCCCTCAGAAAAATAAATAAACATAGATGGGCTTTAATATACTTGTTCATACAACCGTCATGCTTGTATTTATTGTTGTGACAAAATTGCCACACCCCTATATGGATTTACCAAAGTAATTTACACATGTAAATTACTTTGTTCTGTTTAATCTTTATGCCAGTGTCTTCCCTCTTTAAGATGTTAGAAAGCGGGTTTAGTGCCAGACAAAACCAAAGCGGGCAACGAGTCGCCTTGAAATATATCTCTATTTATTTGGATATATTTAGTTTCTATTTTTCCTATTTCTGTATTAAGTATTATTTTTGTTTTTCATTTGTTCATTACAGTTTTGAAACATTCCTTGTGTACCTTATATATGTCGAGGACTTTCTGGAACCAGCTATGGGGAACTGAATCATATGCTTTCTGGAAGTCAATATATGATGAATGTAGGTTCCTTCTTCGTTTTCTTATTTGCTCTGTCACTATGATATCTATGATGAGTTGTTCCTTGCATCCCTTTTGATTGTTTAATACACTCTTTTTGTTCGATTGCTAGGATACTATTTTTGCCACAGTGGTCTATTTGCGATGATGGAAGTGAATATTTTGTAGATTGTGGGAAGGCATGTTATTGGTCTGTATTTGGTTGCATTTCTGGTGTCTTCATATATTGACTTAAGGTGTGTTACTCCAGTTGACATAAACTCGGGCATGGTTTTTAGTGTCAGCCAGTATCTTGTTAAATTACGTGCTAGATGGTTGTGTGTAAATGTAAAAAAATTGTAGTAGTAATTGTGGATGTTGTCGATCCCTGTTGCTTTCCAATTTTGTGTTTTCTTTACTGTTTCGCTTATTTCGTCAATGGTTGTCTGTTTATATTCCGTTCTAGTAATTCTTTGATTGACATCTTCCGTTTCTATCCATTGTGTTTCCTCATTGTGATTTACTTTTTCAGACCATAGCCTGGTCCAATATTTTTTTGTCTTCCTTGGTTGGTGCTCCATTGCCCTTGTTACTTGTTTTGTACAGATTGTTTTAGAATTGTTTCTCGGTGTTTGTTTTGTGTTTTTCTCAGTATTGTATCTTGATATATTTTGAGTCTCAGCTTCATTTATGTTTTCATTGTTTTTATTATGTTTTGCATGTTTTGTATGTGTCTTATACTTCTTCTCCAGAATTCTTTTATCTTTGTTGTTTAATTTACGTGATCTCTTACGCTCCTTGTAGACTATGATTTTGCTCTTAAATTTTCAATTCGTTTCTCTAGTCTCATCATCAACCCGAGTTTATTATTTTTTGTTTTCGTTTCTCTTTCATTCTGTATAACAATTTTACCACCCATTACCAAAATCGCACTTGTTATGGTTAGTGCTCCGCGGTATATTATTGCGTGTATTTGTTCTATTTCTATGTGATTTCTGAGATATTGTAGTATGACTTCATTCGTTATTTTAGTAGTGTTTGTTAATTTGTTTTTGCAAGATTGGTCTCAAGGTTGGGTTTGTGTCTATGTATTCGAGTATTGTTCTTTCCATTTTTTCTTAATTAATTATTATTAATATAATTATTGAGAAAATCCTGAATTTACTCACTATTTTTTAACTAAATTGTCAATTAGATAAAATTTACCCCTGAAAATTAATTTTGTAGAAAAAATTTCGAAAAAACAAAAAAAATATATATTAAATGAATATTAAGAGAATATATCTGAGAACTGATAATAAATAAAAGTAACACATAAAAAAAACAAAATTTGATTTTTTGGGGTACTCTATAAAGTTCTATTCTTCTTCTTTTTTTAAACTTCCACCAATTTCTGAATTAAAATGTTAAATGGGCAACGGCCCAGCTACGTCGAAAAAACCGGTTCCCATTAGAACACCGAAGTTAAGCGACTTAAGGCGATACTAGTGGATGGACGGGTGATCGGTTTGAAACGCTGTATGGTGTTGTTGTCCAAAAAAAGGCAAAAGTGTAAAATCTACTGACACACACTGCTCATTCACGCCGGTTCGGGGCCGGATGAGATCGGATATCCCGTGAGCAAGAGTCGATTTAGACACTTGCCAAGTCGGTAGGCCATTGACCATGATATGGCCGAGGACCGCGGTTCGGATTCTGCGTAAACAAAGTAGGCCCCGTCCAGATTAGCCCTGCCAGCAAAAAGGAGACGTTAACTGAAATCTTTACTTTACTTTTTTAAAATGTTAAATAAATTGTACAACCTATTTTTAACTTAATACACTCGAAGGTCAGGATACCTACATGAAGTGGTACTATATTATAGTAGATATCATAATATCGCATTGTGCCAAAGATACGCAACAATATCAAATTTAAACCTAAACGAAGGTGGACCATTATATGGTACTATATTATAGTACCACTTTATGCTTATTGCCACTTTATTATTATTTATGCTTCATGCTACCATAATATTGCATTGTCACCGAAGGTACGCTAGTATACCAAATTTGAGTCTAATCGAACATCAGGAAGTTGTTCTAATTCAGCTGTACAGGGACATCATTTTAAGTGTCTCACTCGATTTATAATTTTCCTGTTTGGTATTTAAAGATAGTAGAAAGATTTTCTAATGTAATTTTTCGCAAGGATGCCGATTCTCTACACCAAAATTTTTTAAAACGTCAATTTTGACAGATACGACGCCATCTTAGGGTTCCCAACTTGAGCATCGGCGATTCCGGGACAATTATTTTTAAGTTTTTAAATAATTGAAACAAAACATTAAATATTAGAAATTAAAATATATTATATGTAAATGTGATTTTTTTGGTCCCGGCCAAGGCAAAAT